AATTAGTTTAATCAACATCGTCTCTAAGCTTCTCGCTGGCATCATACTCCGCGGGAGAACCAGGCTGGTATTCGGCCCGGTCGAGGTTGTATCGACCACATCTTGGCTGGGGACCTCAGGATGATCGTAACCGATGGTTAGAGACACTGAGTGATATGGCTGGGTGTCGTAAACAGTTCGTGTATCTTCTCAATTTCTTTGCAACCTTAGACAGCTGAACTTCTCCATTTTTCTGTTAGACTCCACTTTCAACTTTCCTTTCTTCTATTCTTCATTCAAATGAGCAGCCAAAACAGCAACCAAAACCGGCGCCCGAATATGCGTGAATGGTTGTACAAACTGAAACCGAAACATACTTCTACGCCATGTCATGGTCTGACCGCCGCGTCGTTTCTTCCAACCTTGCCCGGCACGTGCAAAGAGAGTCCCGAAAGGCAGTCGATGGATAGGCATACACAATACGTGACCAAGCCATCGGAGGCGGTGGAGAGCGATTACTTCTGTTAGAGAACGACTATCCGCACTCANAGTCGATGGATAGGCATACACAATACGTGACCAAGCCATCGGAGGCGGTGTAGAGCGATTACTTCCGTTAGAGAACGACTATCCGCACCCACCCACGACGACGAACCTCGTCATTGCTCACCCGGTGTTTCCACCAGACACGAGCAATGCTTCGGAGAAATCGGTAGTTGAATACAGAAAGTCGATTAACATCCTTAACGCGGAGGGGCCACGTCTCGCAACCGTAAAGTAGAAAACTACGAACCGTAGCTGTGTACACTCTTCCTTTGAGGGACAGCCGGATGTTACGGCGGTGCCACAGATGTCGCAGGTTGGCGAATGCTGCTCTAGCTTTTGCTTTTCGTGATATGATCTCTTCCTCAACACCCCCACCGGCTGCGATCAAGCTCCCGAGGTACTTAAAGCTCTCAACCACTTTCAGCTGATCACCAGAGAGTGAACACAGGCACAGGCTCCTGCCAGTTTTGAACAAGCACTTTGCACTTGAAGGTGCGAAGCACATACCATATCTGGATACCTCGATCGCCAAGCGGTTCAAAGCGTTTTTGGACTGCCTGTGTATTGTCACCCAGTAAGGCGATATCATCGGCATATTCTAAGTCAATGACTTTATTCTCTGGGAGGAGTCCGACTCCACCGTTTGCTAGATTGGACAAAGCATTCCGTAGAACATCCTCTGTAATAAAGTTGAAAAGGAAAGGGGATATAGGGCAGTCTTGTCGAACTCCACTGGAAACAGCGAAGGGTGGCGAAAGTTGGCCGTAGACCCTATAGTCATAAGGACCTACTGTTCAGTGATGGAAATCGGTGACCCGATTCCTGGGACTTGGAGTGGCGAACCATAAGGCCCCTAGGTTGGGCGTGGTACTAGGTCGAAGGACGGCAACCCAGCCTACCACCAAACTTGAGTTGCGGAATCTGATAGTCGTGTCATAGGCTAATACTGATTCACCACCTTTAATGAGCTGCAAACATTTTCATTTTCATTTTAGACAGCATACTGATATGTTAACGGTGGCCGGGTCACTAGACAGGAACCCGCTCGCGTGTTCGCAGGTTTCTACCGTCTCACCGAATACTCGTCGAGACGACGTTTAGATCGCATGTCATTCTGCTCCTCCACCATCTCCGATGGGAGTTAATTTCAAATAATAGTCGCCATAAAACGACGGAAGTCCCGTAGACGTCAGGTTCTGGAACGTGCCTGTCTCCAAGCTTCCGGCTCCAGTACCTTAGTGGAAACACAACGCATAGTTCAAGTGCCGGATAGCCACAAAGATGCTTTCACCTATATATTAAATCCCCATGGAGTTTCCCGTAGCTAACTGGGAACAGTCCTAGCGCTTGGAGCCGACCTTCATAGATGATCCCACGTACAACATAAAGATGAACGTAACACGGGTGTTTTAAGTGCATAGCCTAAAATACAAAATAAACCCACTGAGGGTTGGCTCGGTTCATTTTGTCATCTTTCCTCAAATTTACTAGTGGAAAACAGTATCCAAGCCCTTCCCGAGGCACTAAGAATATCCGAGAAATCGCACCAATGTCCGAGTCGGCAAGTGAGTGAGTTGAATTAATCGGAGCTGGATATTTTAACTAAGCATGGAATTACGCCGTCCACATAATAGCGAGCTTAAAAGCTTATAACCACTATACGCTTCAAACACCTCTTCTGTTTGGAAGTAATGCACTCGTGAAAGGCAGCATCATTGCATCATTGCACAGCGTAATACAGTAAAAGGTTACAACGATCAAACACATTTAGGGTTATTCAACTTTTAAGCAGCACATCAAAATCAAACGGCAAAATTACTTACCCAGACTGATGAATTAGAGCCAGGTGGCGCTGAATAGCCTTGAAAACCACCTTAGGGAAAGTAAAATTTGTATGTTCCAGTACACCCTGGTATAGCTCCTGAAAATGCCGAATGCACATTTCCCCACAAATCTCATAGTGGGAAAGTGCTTCTTTTCGCTCATCTTCAGTAAGCTCACGTCTGACCATTTGCGCCAACTCCTCGACGCACAAACCTAATGAAATAGGAGTAAGCTGTTTAATTACAGATTACCTATAAGGGCTAAACCCTCGCTGATCAGTCGAACATACCTAGTGGCGAAATACTCGACTTTTAAAGAGGGCAACTGGAGTTTTCTTAGAAGGCCGACCGACGCCGTGAAACTTTTACGAAGATAAAGTGATTTAGCAGCCAGTATAGATGCTTCCAATTTATACTGGTCATCAGGTGTTTTCACTGCCTCCGACAGGAAAATGCTCGCAGATTCAAGATCATCATTGTCTATATATCCAGTCTCAAAGTTCTCTAGCTTGCTTTCAGCCATAACCAGGTAAAATAAATAACCTGAATAAAGCAGTCAAGTAAGTGCTTTAACTATCACCTACTAAGGGCTGAATCATTCTTATGGAGTGTAACGAGCTCGACAGCTTTATTCCAAGCACCTTCGACTCTTAGTTTTTCTATGTCACTTTCTATTTTCCCTTTCTTTGCTTTTATGGGCCTCGAAGTCGACATCCCAACAGGGTCGAGTAACGTCAGATTTGAAGGACCGCCAGGTTAGGTCACATCAGTTCAGTCTTGAAGTCTTGAAGTCTTGAAGTGATTCACGGGTTCGAGGCTGTTGCCC